TGGTCTCATCTAGCACTGAGTATCCATATGTTGTCCTAATCCTGTTGATGATGTTGTAGCATAACGTGGACACCATATTCAGTTTGTCTTGATGCTTTATCTCTTGTGATTCAAACTTAAGAGTGCCCCCATCCTTGTTACTCCATAATACTAATCTGTGCATTTGTCCTTGTAATTTCAGGAAGGCCAAAGAAAGAAAACACAAAACCAGTAGCATGCAACTGCCAAGCCTTGATGAGACTACACCGTACAGCGGAAAATGGATGGTATATACACGATTTCAGACCTGAACACAACCACCATTTGTCATCATCGTGTGCCGAGAAATACATTGGCCATCACAGGAACACTGACACACACACACCAAAGATATAGTGAAATGTTGTGCTCTATGTTCATTCTGCTGTGTTATTGAGATCCTGTGGTGTAATGATACTACTGTGTTATTTTGAGAATTATATTATTATTACCTGCGCTTTTGGTTGACTACCAAATTGTCCAATGAAATGTTGATCTCCCTTGAATAAGGCTGGACCGAAACTACTAAATTGTGTGAGTGGGCTAGACTGTTTAGAGGATAGGGCTGGCTTAATTAATAAATATGTTGTATATCGCCTCAGCCCAGAACAAACATTAATAGGCTGATATGTTGCGCTAGGCCCATGGTTAAAAATGGACTGAATTAAGGGCTTGGCCCATAGTTGTGGCCCAAAAGTAAATTTGAAAATGGGCTATATTGGGCTCGGCCCATTGAAACAACTGTTTGACCGATCCCACATGGTGTCCACGTCATCATTTTTGCCATGTCATCACATGTGCCATGTGGACATCGCCACATTGGCTTGGCCACATCAGATCCTACGTGGTCTAGCCCAATTAGTAATGACCATAATTTTGGTCAAAGATTTAACGACAAAAATTTTGGTCAAGGGCAGCCATGACCAAAATTTCAGAAAAGGTCATGTTTGTTTGTTCTTGACGGCCAACTGTTGACCTTCTAAATTTGGTCAAAAAAGGTCAATAAACGAAAGCAATGACGAATTAACAACCAAAATGGAGAGTCATAATTGAGCGTATTTCTGGTAGTGTTAGGGAATCACATAGCATGTTCTGTCATAGACCTGCAAAACAGAGGAAAATTACTACTTGTACTAACCTTGTCAAGTGTGTGCATGTAACAAATGTTGGACATAACTAAACACGGAAGAATAAAATGCAACATATGGCCAGATCAAAGCTACAGTCATGGCGGAGAGGTGATATGTAGAGGACGCAAACAACCAATTGGTGTGTGGGAAAGAGGTTGCCTATAACCTTGTGGCTATAGGCACCCGCATGGAGGACTGGGAGGTGGGATGGCGCTTAATCTTCGCCGGCGGCCGCCGCGGGGAGGGCAGTGTGCCTCCTCTCGTGTTCTTCGTTGAAAAGGTGGTGCGAGATCGCGTGGGAATTGGGGTGGAGGAAGGGAGGGGCCGGGACGAGCGGCTAGATCCTGCCGGCGAGGATTAAAACCCTAGCGGCGGCGAGGAATAAACCCTAGCGAACGGGATAAAAATCGAACCGAAAATAGCCCTGAAATTCGTACTGAGAATACCCTCGAAATTTTTGGGTGGGAAAATCTAATCAGTTCGAAATATTTTTTCTCTTGAAAATACCCCTCGGGGTCTGATATAATACACGTGACATCAGCGTATTGCATCGGATCTGGACCGTCGAATTCGCTCCGACGGACGGTCCATATCGTCCGGATGCACTGTAAAATGACTCTATTTAAAAGTTCATCATGCAAATACAGTAAAATTCAATAAGAATAACTCATGGATCACAAATCTCACTAGTAGGCCGTTCACTACAGGAAAAAAATTGTAAGTCATGTGCCTAATACATTCGGCTTATGCCGATTTGCACTCGGCTTATATATAAGCCGAGTAAAACTCCCGGTTTATAGGACACGGCTTACAGGGGTCCCGTGCTAAAAAAACTCGGTTTATATATAAATTGAGTGTTTGCACGAGGCACACGGTTTAATAAAGTAACATGACGGTAGCCATGTGTTAACGGCCATGTGTCAGCATCGGTATAAGCCGAGTGCCATGTGAAATAGTATAAGCCGAGTTCTTTTTTTCGGGTACTCGGCTTATGTCACTCTAAACGGAGTTTGCTGGAAAAAACACCCGGCAAATAAAAAGGACTCGGCTTATGGGAGTCTATAAGCCGAGTGCTGCTGAAAAGCCCTCAGCTTACATCAGGTACACGCCATCTACACAAAAAAACACTCGGCTTATAGAGCAGACACGGCAAAGATAGCTGCCACGTGTCCAAAACGGAGGTGGTTGACGGTGCGGTCACGGAGCAACCTGTAAGCTGTGTGCCCTGCAACAGCACTCGGCTTATATGGTCTATAAGCCGTGTGCACTGCGACAGCACTCGGCTTATATTAAGTACATTTTTATATCTTTAGCGAATAGAATTCAAATTTGAATTACAAGTGCGTGAAAAAGTTGACAAGGTTAGGTTAAAAAATCATACTTGTGTTCTTGAGTCTATGTTTAGGCCATATGCAAGAAAAATAAATGAACTTCAAACATGAGGGTGCCAAGACTTGTCCCCGGACATGTAGTTTTTCTTTTTATAAATTTTGAGAAATGCAAACGAACTCTGAAAAGCATGAAAATTGGCATGGTGCCCTTACATGACACCTAAATACCGTGGTGAAAAATTGAGAACGTTTCGTAAAGGGTGTGATGTATATCGCTTGGAAACTAGACCATCTCCGAAGAAGAAACGTGTTTTTGAGATGGAGCGAGCGAGGTGTGAAGGTGACGCAAATGTTCCTTCAACCGTTGGCCTTGAAACTTTTTCTACACTCAATATACACCATTACTTGATCCATGTAAAAAAATGGAATCTTTCAGGCTTCATTTGCTATATTTAAGCCATTAAATGCATTTCTATATCTTTAACGGATATAATTCAAATTTGAACTACAAGCGTGTGAAAAGGTTGACAAAGTTGGGTTAAAAAAACATTTTTGTGTTGTTGAGTCTATGTCTAGGCCATATACAATAAAAATAAAGGAACTCGAAACATGAGGGTGCCAAGACTCGACCTCGAACATCTAGTTTTTCGGTTTATAAATTCCAAAAAATGCAAATGAACTCCGAAAAGCATGAAAATTGGCATGGTGCCCTCATATGACACCTAAATATAGTGGTAAAATTTTTAGAACGTTTCGTAAAAGTTGTGATGTACATCGCTTGGAAACTAGACCATCTCCGAAGAAAAAACATGTTTTTGAGATGGAACGAGCGAGATGTGAAGGCAACGCGACCGTTCCTTCATCCGTTGGCCTTGATTTTTTTCTACACTCAATATACACCATTACGTGATCCATGTAAAAATTTGGAATCTTTCGGGCTCCGTTTGCTATATTTAAGTCATTAAGTGCATTTCTAGACATTTAACGGATATAATTCAAATTTGAACTACAAGTGCGTGAAAAAGTTGGCAAAATTTGATTGAAAATTCGTATTTGCGTTCTTGAGTCTATGTTTAGACCACATACAAGAAAATAAAAGGAATTCCAAACACAAGGGCGCCAATATTAGACCCAAACATAAAGTTTGTTGGTTTTTTAATTCCAGAGAATGCAAACGAACCCCGAAATTCTTGAAACTTGGTAGCCTGTCTTTATATGATACCTAGAGGCTGTGATAAAAATGTATGAGAAAATAATGCAATTATGGGTCCTAATTAATATGAAAACGTACTAGTAAATAAACACACATAATGTAGCTCATGTGCTTTTTTCTCATTGGCTGAGCCGTGTGAGCCACGGATCAGTGACATGGCAAGAACTCAGCCGCATATCTCGTGCGCTCCTTCCGAAATCGAACGGCTGTTGGCCTCTCTCCTCCCTCCCCTCTCTCCCTTATTATATCCCCATCCTCTCCTCAATGGCTACCGGCTCTCCCTCCTCTCCGTCCACTCCTCCACTCCACGCCGCCGCCGCCTACGCCGAAGTGCCGCAGCCTCCTCAAAGAGCAGCAGTCAACGGAGCAAGCAGCAGCAACTCGCGGCAGCAGAAGCTACCCGTCCATGCTCAGCTCGATGCAGTGATCCTCCTCGCCGGCGGGTGAGTGCTCGAGCACGGCCGCATCGATCCACCAGCAAGCAAAGCTAGCCTCTATCTAGCTAATCGAGCCGCTCGATCTGCTCTCACGTGTACTAGACCACTAGTAGTATGTATATAGCTAGCTAATCGATCCACTCGATTGATTCCTATGTGTAACAGCAGTACGTACTACGTATGTGTGGGCGTTTGTAGCCGGGGTGTATACATATACATTTGAATACTCAAATACCTGGGGTGTGTACGCATACATTTGAAAACCTGCAAACCACAATACCTCAGATTTGGCACTCGGATTATAAGGTATAAGCCGTGTGTAACAGGTGCCAGGCACCCGGCTTATAGGCACTACAAGCGGCGGCCTGCCAAATATAAGCCGAGAAGGAGGCACTCGGCTTATATATAATATATATAAACCGAGCGTTGCGGGCGGCACTCGGCTTACACCGATACTGACACATGGCCGTTAACACATGGCTACCGTCATTTACTTTATTAAATCGTGTGCCTTGCGCAAACACTCGGTTTATATATAAACCGAGTTTTTTTAGCACGGCACCCGGCTTATACCTAGTAAGCCGGTCCCCTGTAAGCCGTGTCCTATAAACCGGAAGTTTTACTCGGCTTATATATAAGCCGAGTGCAAATCGGCATAAGCCGAGTGTATTAGACACACGGCTTACAATTTTTTTCATGTAGTGACGTCGTAGGAAGGCTCAAGTATGGACGCAGCGAGTTCTTCAAATGGCCCAAAGTAAATCACAAATCCCACATGGATAGACTTCGAGTTGGGATGCATCCCCACCAACCAGTTTTGAAACTCATACTAGTCCTGTGTTTTTTACAATCGTATGAATCAAAGAGACCCTTAGTAGTCTTCAAATTTTTCACACGTACTTACTGATACATCAAATTGTCTGCTCTCGATCATGGCACGCCAGCTCCGGCAAACAAGCTTAAGCCTCATGAGGGCATAAGTTGGTACACGGCGTAACACCAGCGACACTGCGAAGATGATGTCTTTGTATTGTTTTCCAGGAAAGGCCATGCTTTCCTCGTATAGTGTGGCATGTCTTAAGACTATGCTTTGATGAGTGACCACACCACTACTGTCCAAGGGGTTCTCGATATCGCCAGTCATGGGGTTGTACGCAAATAGTTTGAAACCGGTTGTGCGAGCCGATGGTAAACGTGGTTGTACGAGGAGGATGCGACAACCATCGAGGATGGCAAGTGGGCTGATCTGAATGGAGATCTTCCATGAGTTTGTGGCTAGATCGATTCGGCAGTGTAAATCCCACGTCGATGTGTTGTGTCCCTGTAATAGGTAGACGTCGAGATATTGGGGCCACATGTTGTATAAGAGGCACAGGCGCCCACCGAGATTCGTCAAATGATGCTTAAGCAGACCCTCCTTCTCTATGCCTAATGGAGGCAGAATGGCCCCGAAAGTTTCATCGGCGAGGGAGAAGGAAACAATGAGCATCTCTTGCGGTACTGTGGGCTTCGCTTCAAGCTGAGAGTACACCTTCCGCTGAGCTAGCCAATGCACGTGCCCTTGTGCAAAGACGCTGGTCATATTTTGATTTACCCAACCGAGAGGCTTCTCCTGGCGGCTTCGCTCCACCGGCCTCCAGAGCTCCGTGGTGTTGACCACGTAGACCTCGCATCCGGCAGATAGAGGGAGTTTGTCAGGACCACAACCACGATAGTAGACGCGCACAACCTTATGCTTCCTTGTGCGCACATCATAGCCCAGCCCTAGGCACGCATACCTCTTATACGACTCCATGAGACTCCTGCAGCCCGTGGATCGGCCGTCAGGGAGAACCGTCATTTGGCCGGTGGATGGGTTGCACAGGTAGTGCATCCCTGCGGTGGCGGCTTGGAGGATAACGAGGCCACGACACTGCTGAGTAACAAGGCGTGGGAAGTCTCTGTCTTGGTCGATGCGCGTGCGCCCGAACGTTGAGGGGTTGTATGGAAAGCGGTCGTGCGTGAGATCACGCGGGACGTTGTCCATCAGCGTTGCACCGCTAGCTTTGTCTGGCGACCACATGTTCATCATCTGCCCATGGCTGGCCGAGTGTTGTAACAACAGGATCCTCGGGACACCGTGGCGGTTGGCGAGGCGGAGGTGGCGATCGGCAAAATCGTCCGTCGAGAGCCTGGTTGCCCAGGCATGGGAGAGGCAGCGGCACCTGAGTACTGACTTAGCCGGCAGCCGCGCAAAGATATCCTCCATCACATCGTCGGGGAGGACCAGGCATTGCTCCGCCATGACGGCAGGATTAGACGCACGAGATCTATGCGTCTTTTTCGCCGATGTTTTCTTTCTTTAGCTGTTTTATATATTACCCGTGGGCAATGCTATATATAGTAGTACTAATTGAAAGCACACCATATAAGAGTCCGTGATATTTTTTTTTAAAAAGAGTCCGTGATGTTCACTAAAAACAAGAGTCCCTGATGTGTCACGTATAGGCCCCCGCTTCGTACTCGTCCCGCACGTTTTTTTTTTTGACAGCATAATCGTCCCGCACGCTGACTTGTTTTTTTGTTTTGGAGAAACACAGATTTATTGCAAAGGGAAATTTTACGGTGCATCATAATACACCAAATCACGTGTATTATATGGGTAATCTAACGGATGAGAATAACTGGGCCTTTTTGAGCCCAAGGGTATTTTCGACCTAATTTTTTTTTACCTTTAATCGGTCCAATTAAGTCCAGGGGTATTCTCGTCCGAAATTTTTCGATTAAATTAATTGCATTAAAAAACACTTCATTATAGAGGTCCAATCATCATGCGTACTCTTTTGAATTTTGGTTCGAGCGGTTCGTCCTCTCTCCTCCTCTCGAGTCCTAACCTCGGCGCCCTCGATCGCCGCCGATCGCCCCCGGCTCCCTCGACCACCGCCGATCGCACTCGCCGTGTCACTCCTTCCTCCTGCTCCTACTTCCCCCTCCCCCCTCCATCGCAAGTCACCCCACTCGGGTCGCAACACCAGATCTTCCGACGAGCCTCCCCTCCTTCCCCGAGCGGACGCCACCTTCCCCGACCTGAGAGGCCACATCATCCTCATCGACGTGCATCAACTTTTTCACGCCGGATCTTCGCTGTAAGTGTCTAGCCATCTCAAATCTTTGCTAGTCCCTTATGCATATAGTACCAATAGGGGTCGGATTTGATTAGGGTTTAGGATATGTCATGTGAGGTTTAGGTTTATGGTTTCAGAAAGTTGTGACGAGATTTCGATTGAAAGGGAGTGTAAGTTGGATTTAGCTAGGACATGTTGATGTAGTTAGTTACGGTTTATGGTTTCAGAAAGTTGTGACAGGATTTTGATTCAAAGGAAGTGTAAGTCGGATTTAGCTAGGACATATTGAAGCACTTAGTTAGGGTTGTGTGCCATGAGAATTTGTCAGCAGATTTGGATTCAAAGAAAGTTATTTTGGATTTAGTTAGGAGATATTTTTGAATTGAGTTTCGAGATATTTTGAATTTAGTTAGGAGATAATTATTTTTGTATGGATTTTGGAGTTATTTTTGACTTAGTGATGAGATAATTTGGATTTAGTTAGGTGATAATTTTGGATTCAGTTAGGACTCAATTTTGAATGGAGTTTGCAGATAATTGATCTATCAGGGTGGATCTATCAGGGGACTTGAAAGATTCGTGCACTTTGGATTTAGTTAGGAGATCACCAGTTACAACAAGTACAATTAATTAAATATTTCTGGATTTAGTCAGGGCATATTTTACAGCTTTTGGACGACTGAGTTTCGTACATGAATCCGATATGAAAAATTAAATCAATTATTTAAGAAGAGTAGTGCATAATTATTATGTATGCTATCCATCTGTAACATTGACTATCTGTTTTCGTTGGTAGCATAACAACATGGGTGATAAAGGCAACAACGGCAAAAACTTGCGGAATACAGGCAAGGATGACAAGGACATGGGTGATAGACGAAACGAAGGCAAAGGAATGGATGGTATGTGCACGGATGATAATGATAATGAGGATGCATGCAATGATGGCATAGACCTGGATGATGTACACATGCAAGGTAAAGGAATTGACAATAAAGGCATGGCTGGTTCAGATATGAATGAGTGTATGGAATACATAGAGATTGTGAACAAGACTTTCAGGACTGAGGAAGAAGCATACATGTTCTACGTAGGCTATGTGAGAAAAAAGGGTTTGGTGTTAGAAAGGATGATCTGAAGTATAGGGGTCTGGGTCCGAAACAAGGATGGCGGGCCCTTAAGCATTTAATAGAGCTGAAAGAAAAAGAACACCGAGGGGTCTTTCTCGGTGTGGGTGTCCCGCTCTTTTTCAGGTTGAGCTACAAGATAACAGAGGCCTCTGGTTCGTCAAGAATTTTGTGGACAAGCATAACCATCTGTTTGTCCCTGCTGACCTGACTCCCTACTTATCGGCTCATCATAGAATGACTGACGCACAAAAGGCCGATGTCATTGAGTATGCTGTTGGTGGACTTCGAACACATCAGATTATGAATGTAATGGAGAAGAATGCCGGAGGTCCCTACAAGCTTGGATTTATAGATCGAGACCTATCAACCATGTTTCAATCCAGAAGAAGCGCAAGATAGAAGGCAGTGACGCTAGATATTTGCTCACCTATATGATTGCACAGAAAAAAGCAGACCCGGAATTCTTTTTCAAATACACAAAAGACAAAGAAGGCCATTTGAGGAACATATTCTGGGCTGATTCACAATCCCGGATTGACTATGTTGCCTTTGGTGGTGTCGTGGTGTTCGACAGTACATACCGGTCTAACAAGTACAGGCTTCCATTTGTTCCATTTGTTGGTCTGAACCATCACCGTAGCACAGTTTTGTTTGGGGTTGGTCTAGTATCAGACGAGACAGTTGCATCATACCAGTGGCTTCTTCATGTATTTTTGGAGGCAATGTCCCAGACGGCACCCATTTCAGCAATCACCGATGGGGACGGTGCAATGTCTAAAGCAATAGCTACTGTCTGGACTGGAACAGGTCATTGTTTGTGCACGTGGCATATCGAGGAGAATATGGTGATGCACCTCTGCAAGAAAAAGCTTGAGGAATTTAGAGAATTCATTTACTGTCGTTGGGATGTTGATGAGTTTGAGAAAAGATGAGAGGCTTATATGGTTCGGTTCAAAATAAAACCAACGGGGAAGAGGTCGTCATGGGTTAACAGGATGTACGAGCTGCGACACAAATGGGTTGCTGCGTACACAAAGGGTAGATATTTCCTAGGCATGATGAATAATCAGAGGAGTGAGTCTCTCAACTCAATGCTTCATGTGCACCTGAATAGGAAGATGCAGCTTGTTGATTTGTTGCAGCATGTTGAGCACTATGTATCCATAATGCGTAAGAATGAAGCAGCATTAGACGCAGTAGCAACACATACGATACCCTTCACTAAGCTGAATGCACACCCTCTGGAGATTGCTGCCTCTTATATTTATACAACTTTGATGTTTCCAAAGGTAAAGCGTCAGATTGTCAAGGGGACAAATTGGCAGGTCACGGACCGGGTAGCATGTGATGGTTTGGTTGTGTTTGGAGTTTTGCACAAAGCCCCATATGATAAAGTCCCATATGGCAGGGATGCTACAGAATTGCAAGGTAAGGAAGGTAAGGATGCTGAGGACTTGCATGCAAAAAAATTGGATGCCGAGGATCCCAATGACTTGGAAAGTAAGGATGTTGAGGACTTGCATGCAAAAAACTTGGATGCTAAGGATCCCAATGACTTGAAAGGTAAGGATGCTGAGGACTTGCATGCAAAAAACTTGGATGCTGAGGATCCCAATGACTTGGAAGGCAAGGATGGTGTGGACTTGCATGCCAAAAACCTAGATGCTAAGGATCCCAATGACTTCGAAGGTAAGGACAGTGAGCAGTTGGATGCAAAAAAGTTGGATGCACAAGGCGTGGATGCTAAGCCTGTGGATTTTATATATCATGTGACTTGTTTGTTTACAGGAGCAAGACTGGATGATGCAGCTTGTAAATGTAAAAAGTTGGAAAGTCAGGATTACCCATGCGCACATATATTCTGCGTTCTGGATCATCTTGGTGTACGCACATTTCCAAAAAAATTGTCAAGAAAAGATGGACAATGCATGCCAAGCCAGTGTTCCCTTCTTCGAGGACTACGAATACTCATGTATGGTCTGATCACATGAATAAGTATCATCAACTATGCAACATGGCTAGTGACGCTTTATTCACAACCGCAGCTAGTGATTCATAGTCAGAACAGGTGCTGGAGCTCCTCCGGAGTATATTGGTTGATGGAGAAAAAACTGATTTGGATGAAGGCCATAAATTGTTTGTTCCTTTGCCGACATACTTCTCTGCTGCTCGCGAATGCTGCACTGATGACGTGGAAAATCCAATCAAAATAGTTCCAAAAGGGAGACCAACTACCGAAGAATCGAACAAGAGGATTGAATCCAGGCACGAGCGGATGAGAGGAAAAAAAAGCAACGAAGTTAGTGCACATGTTTATCTCATTGTCCATTTCCATACATGCTTACAATGTTAATATGTTCTCTCTTTTTTCAATTTACTCAGGAACAAATCGGGGAAATCAAAGGTCACAAGGAGGAAGAAGCGAAAAGAGAAAGACTCGGAGACAAAAGAAGACATAGATTCAGATACAGAAGAAGAGGAAGATTCAAAAAAAGCAACGAAGTTAGTGCACATGTTAATCTCATTGTTCATTTCCATACATGCTTACAGTGTTAATATGTTCTCCCGGAGAGTGTTCACATGTTTTTCTTCAATTTACGCAGGAAAAAACCAGGGAAATCAAATAGCACAAGAAGGAAGAAGCAAAAAGAAGAGATAGAGTCAGATACAGAAGAAGAGACAGAGGCAAACACAGAAGAAGAGACAAAGGTTGATACACAAGAAGAGGAAGATTTAGATGCAGAAGAAGAAGGAGATTCAGATGCGAAGAAGAGGGAGATTCAGATGCGAAAGAAGAGGAAGATTGAGATGCAGAAGATGGTGGGCTGAGGAGGGCTGGAAGAGATCATTGGAGGTTGCAGAAGAGGATTACGCAAAACCAAACAAGTGGGCATTAGCACAATTGTGCGTACTTAAACATGTTTTCGAATGCTGGCTGCAGATTCATCTATTTCATTTTTTGCAGGAAACGCAAGGGCGGTCCAAATGTCAATGCTGGGAGGAAGAAAAAGAACGATGACAAGGGTGCGCGAGGAAAACCAGTGAAGTTA